TATATGTGACCAAGGCATACGTCTTCAGTAAACAATATCTTTATGTGATGATAAAGAAATTATTCAATAAAATATATTTGCTTGATGTGTAACTATATCTCAGCAACAACCTTAACATATTTACGTCTTCAGTAAACAAAAGTCTATATGTAATTATAAAGAATTTACTCAATAAAATTCATTTGCTTGATGTGCAACTACCTAAAATATATGAAGCTTAATTAAAAGAAATTCATTATTCAAGATTTGATTTTGTTTGTTATTGTATTGTATGCTGTTTGGTGTCATTTTTATGCGCCCGTTTGTATGGCTTCAAAGAGTATTATCAAAATGGGCTGTGCTCCTTGAATGCTGAATTTCCGTTGTCATGTTAATGCAAATATTGAGAAAAGACAGTTTGTAGGAAAATCGAATGTCTCAAAGATTAAGTGTATGAGACACTATATCCGTAAAAGTTGACGTTCGATTTAACAGATTTTGATGTTTGGGTAAACAAAAAGTCACTTGCTGTCATTTGAAATTTAAAGTAATTTGTTTAATTTAGAAAATCATAAAAAGTCACTCTACAAAAACCTCAGACGTCAAAATTGGAAATGTTGCACGTATAATTAGATAGAGCCTGTTCTGCACAATACTTGTAAAATGCAAGCTCATAGCACTGGCTCGTGAAGAATACACAATTAAATTATGGAAACGACGAAAGCTAGAATTTTGTTACATCAGCAGATATTTTGTAGCAATTATCAGGAAACCTTTAATGTGGTACTCTTGTGTCATTCAATGAAAAATATTATAGATGAGATCGCTAGAGAGCAATGCTAACAAAGTAAATAGATGGCACAATTTTGCTGACTATGTTTGATGAAGTCTGTTTATGAGAGACAAGGTAATGCACAACATCTAGCACTCTAGCATCGACATAATTCAATCTGCATCACTCAAAGTGTTTATTCAATGCTCCCGAAGGACTAAAGAATATAGCAACCCCGTACAATACATTGTATTAATAAAACATTGGACTAAATATCAACATACGTGTACAATATGAATACATTTAACGCGAATGTGATAATAAAAAAGAAGCAAGAGGAAAAGAGGAAACATTAAAGAACGGACAAATGACTAAATACAGAAAATATTGCTGTGCATTATTTTGAAAATTTGACTAAAATAAATAATGAAATCGCCATAAATGTTATCTTACAGCTAATTAAGCAAAAGAAAATAATGTTAATAAATTATTTTTGAAATTTGAAAAGTCAGAAATAATGCCTAATGTACACATCATGATTATTTATCCAAGTTATTTAAACTACTACTTGTATAAGAGTCAAATATGACTTATATCTTATATCTTTTTACAAAACAAATAAAGTTAACATATACTAAGGTCTGACTTATGAAAGTATTTTCAAACTCAGTTTCAACCCTTTCGCTGCCATCAGCACATCTATACCTGTCCAATGCAAAGTTAACAAAGTTAATATGCAATATATGTAATTAAAACATGAAATATGTTTCATTTCATTTATAGATTTTTATAGCATTTTTCTCCATATTTTAGAGGTTGGAAATAAAATTATTCTATCAACACGCCATAAAGATAAGGGTTTAAGACAATTATATTAAACTATATATTAAATGAAAATTAACAAACATCTAATGTAGAAGGATTTTTTTGTATTTTTTAGAAATCTCCCTAAAGAAAATGTTGTAATTTCATATACAAATTCGTAAAATGCAATACACGTTTAATTCTTATACTATACGAAAGACAGGTATGTACATTTGTACTTTATGATTTTTGTTTTGACTTTATTTTTTCTGGAAATGTGTCATGCACAACATAACTTCAGATTTAAAAACCAACACATATATACATGGTGTGGTCAAGGTATGGTATCAAAAGAATAAGAATGGACACCAAAATCCCAGAAATTATCAATTTTACCAAAATTTTATTATGTCTGAATCAAATGAAAACATTTTATTCATATAGTAAAATGAATCAATCATGAGTATAACTTGAAATAACACCAATTTTTATTAACCTTAATTTAAAGTCATCACTTTCTCTCAGGTAAAAGTCTTAATAGCTTTATAGGTTTTTCATTTTAATTTGCCTATTTGGACCACCTCTTAGAGAAATTCATATGAGTCCAGACGTATTGTTTTAACAAGATATTTGGTTATGTTTTTTTTAAATGTAAAACATAAAAAATATGATTTCTATATGTAAGTGTTTGGGAAGAAAGTAAAGGCGTGAGTGAAATCTACGTTCACAACAGGACAATGTATTTATTGAAACGTTGTCTGAAAAGAATAATACGGATTCATAAGTTCACAAGGAACACGGTGAAAATTTTACCACCAAATTGTTCCATTTGACGCAAAAGTGGCTTTGTAATTGCATCATATCCATTTAGGAAAATTTTTTAAGTCGACTAAAATGATAAACTCAAGTTCAATGAAGTAACATTAGTCGTTGAACTTTACCTCAGTACCATTTACTAATGGTCAAGAAAGATGGAAACTTTTCTAAACGTATTTTCTAATTATCTAGAAATAAATTGTTTGATACTAGTATAAATCTTCAATCCTGTAACTATGCTATAGAAATGGCTATTTGTGGTTTTAACATTTACTTCAAACTATAGAGTGCAGTCAAGGCAAGAGATGGTAGGTTCATGCAGACAGACATAATCTCTCATATGAATGCTAACAAACTGAATATTTTTCTTTGCTTTAAAACACTTATGATAAATTAGCTTACGAATGCAAATTCAAAAACCCAAGTCTCAAACTTTATGTCAAACAGTGATAATTTGATACTTTTAATCTTACTCCGTCATATAATAACACAAACAGTTTGTTTGTTCAATGTTAACTTGCTTTTAATGAACCAGCAAGTATTATGTCTCGGCAGAACAACAACAACAAAAACAAATACATTTATTTAGAATCAGGTAATATAAATGCAACAACTTGATAAAAAAGATTTGCATTTTATTATATTTTCAAACTATATTTAATAACATAGAATGACTATTTCTATATAATGAAAGTAATATATGGAACAGGTGGGGACATTTTCGTATGTAACAATTTAACAATATACAATGTGTAAAAGTAGTAGTGAGGTTTTTTTCTCCAGATAAATAAATTATCTTCGTATACAAAAACAAAATAAATAGGTTAATTCATATCTAACGGAACAAACTGAAATGAACACACCATTGAGAAGTAATTTTTTCAACTTTTACTATCAATGTCATTGGCGCACGGGAAGCACGATTTTTCATTCATAGATTATCTAAAGTAGGCGTGGCCAAGATGGAAGCTCTTTCGGCGTAACCAAGCAGCGGTGTAGTCAAAAATCGAAGTACAAAACAAAAGTGCTGGCGTACTAGTCAGTGTGAAAAAAAAATGTACAAAACAAAAGTGCTAGCGTGTGAAAAAAATAAATAAATGGATAAATTGTTCATAGAAATATTCATATTGATTCGGGCTGTTGAGATTGACGAAAGGTAAGCTAGACATTAGTGTTATTAATATTGTGTAATATTTGCATGCGTTCTATTTGCACGGTTGACCGTTGTTATTTAATTTCGAAAATGGTTCATTATTTGTCTCGACATTACTGTAGCGTTATGTTTAATAATACGCTTGGTGAATTGGAGGAAAACAGTTCCTCAAACTTCGGGACATTCGGTCTCTTATAGAAAGTTTTCGGAATAAACTTATTCTCGCTTATCTAAAAAAGGGACATGTGAAATTTCTGCTGATTTCGTTATGTTGGCACAAAACGCGTTTTCGTATTGGACGTGGGAGTTGTTCTACCGCCCCGTTTCAACTGATAGTTTATGGTTGCCAGTTCTAAAATGAAATAAAGTCAGTCACAAATGGTTTGGTAAGATTTTTAGATATGGTTCAAGTTTTACGTCAGTTTTATCAATTCTATAGTTGGTGTCTTTTGACGAATTGGTCAGCTGGCTATCCCATTTCTGTAAAAACTGATCAATAAAAGTACGTTTTAGCTCGACTATTCGATAAGAATAAGTAGAGCTATTGTAGTCACCCGAGCGTCGGCGTCAGTGTCGGCGTCTGCGTCAGCGTAACCACTTATGTTAAAGTTTTTGTAATAGTTTTAATATTTTCAAAGTCCATTGACATATGGGTTTGAAACTTTGCACACTTGTTCACCATCATTACCCCAACCTGTAAACAGGAGGAAGTAACTGTATCAAGCATTTTGACAGAATTATGCCCCTTTTTCGACTTAGAATTCACGTTAAAGTTTTTGTAATAGTTCAAATATTTTCAAAGTCCATTGACATATGGCTTTAAAACTTTGCACACTTGTTCACCATCATTACCCCAACCTGTAAACAGGAGGAGGTAACTGTATCAAGCATTTTGACAGAATAATGCCCCTTTTTCGTCTTAGAATTTACGTTAAAGTTTTTGTAATAGTTCAAATATTTTCAAAGTCCATTGACATATGGCTTTAAAACTTTGCACACTTGTTCACCATCATTACCCCAACCTGTAAACAGGAGGAGGTAACTGTATCAAGCATTTTGACAGAATTATGCCCCTTTTTCGACTTAGAATTTACGTTAAAGTTGATACAAAACAATAAAATCCTAAAAAAAATACACTTTCGTTCTTAGTCTCTTTCTATAAATTAAACATGGTAATGAACGCAGTTCGGGAGTCAACTTGTTTTCAAAGAGTTTTTTTTGACACACCGTGAAATTCCTTTTAAATACAGCCGATGATCAATAGAAAAACTATTTTTCCACACATTATAATTCAAAACAATGTCATTTTCAGAGTTTAAATAAGAAAAATTGCTAAAATTATCGTCAGAGGTGTTTTCTACCGACGATCTTTCACCTTCTACTTCCGGTATGAGCTTCGCTTTTTGTAAGGCGTTTTCTCATTGGTCAAAATATTTTGCGACATATTTCCCGGATTCTGACGCAAAAACGTAAATAATGTTGTCTATAGAACAAATATATGCTTTGAATTCTGCTAAAGCAGGCCATAATCTCTTAATATGTGGTCAGGCTGGCACGGGAAAGACGTACGTTGTAAAAAGGATTGTAAATGACTTGAAAAGGAGTCGGAGCTTAGCATTGTTGTGCACGACAGGTATTGGGTGCATGCAGTACGCTGACATGGGGGCTACAACTGTACACAGGTAAATTATGCCTTGGCTGATAGCAAGTTGTTTTTTATTTAAAAAAAATAGAACAATGTGGTAATTATTATATTGAAAGAGATATAGCTGATAAACCAATAACTTTGATAGTGTGACTGAAGAACACATTAGGGCAAGGACCACTAAATATGACTGTTCCACTATTATTTTTTTTTTATTAAACCAGTTGTCCAAATTTATTCAGATCTTAAATCAAACCATTTTAAATGTGGCACGTAACAAATCATATATGCCCTAAATAATTTAAAATTCTGAAATAGAAATATACAGAAACCCCCAAAAGAATGTGCCCAAAAATGCAATATTGATAATGTTGCAAAGTATGTTTGATTTAGCCTGTTCACAAATGTTAAAAACTTTAAGCAGTTAACCACATCTTTTTTGCTTGTTACATTATATCAGTATTCCTACTTCCCCACCAGGAGAAAAACATAGTGAGTCATACCAGCTATATACATGTATATGTATAAATATATGTATACATGGCTGTGACACTAGAGAGAGGGGAGTAATCCCTTATCAGTTAATACATGTATATTGATTTCTTTTCTTCTCTTATAAGAATTGCTTGGATATTTAAATTTGTTATTAAGATTTTTGAATGTTTTTATGGCCGTATATATACGATTGTTTGGAATATATCCCTAAGGTCTAGTGGTTTGGGTTATATATGCATGGCCATATAACCTGTAAAAAATAATTATAACTAATAATATGAATGGTTTTTTTATACAAATAATAATGAATTCCATAGTCATTGAAGCAGCTTCTGTGATATTGCAAATAAATATTTATATCTATATTATGGTCTTTATCTTTAATTATGATAAATTTTAATAGTGTTAATAGGTGATATAAAATTGCTATTATCGCTGTTGACAACATAGTACTACTTAAGATTTTTCTCATGTTTTCAGTTTTGCTGGATTGAAAGATGGTAGACATGATGTGCTTACTTTGGAAAACCTGGTGAAATATGATGACAAATATCACAAGGTTCGTGAAAATGTAGCTAGGTGTGAAACATTGATTGTGGATGAAATTTCAATGCTATCCATGAAAGATTTTGGACAGTTAGAGCTAGTTTGTAGAATATGTCGCAACAGTAAAATGTTGTTTGGAGGTATTCAGGTTATATTTTGTGGAGACTTTTATCAGTTACCACCAGTTCCTAGCCCTCTCCATAATGACAAGGGAAATTTTGCTTGAAAGTGATATTTTCATCAACTATGTAACTCACAAAATAGAACTTAAAAAAGTTATTCGCCAAGATGAAGAAATTTTGATTAAATCTGTCCAAGAAACAGCATTTGGTTGTGTGTCGGATGAAGTGAACACTTTCTTAAACAGTCTGCAACGACCACTCGAAAATGAACACAACATTAAGCATTTGTTTCCAAGAAACTATGATGCTACAGTTTTTAATAATAATTGTTTAGAAAAACTTGAATCTGAGGTTCGAATGTACAAAGCAATTAAAAATAGTGGTGGTCAAAAATACCTGAGGAGAATTTTAGCACCACAATATTTATGTTTAAAACTTACCTGTCCAGTAGTCTTGCTAAGTAATTTAGGAGGGAAATTGGTAAACGGTTTGTCTGGAACAGTGAAAAAATTGGAAGATGGCTATGTCACTGTATTTTTTACAGAGATAAAGGAAACCCATAGGTTAAGTCGTAAGAAATTCACACAGTTTAGCATTTCTAAGAATTGTGTTGTAGCCGAACGTGAGCAGTTTCCCTTATGTCTTGGCTATGGACTTACAATACATAAATCACAAGGTATGACTCTTGAAAATGTTGTTGTTCATTGCAATGGTATTTTTGAAGCCGGACAACTCTCTGTTGCAATAGGACGTGCAGTTTCATCAAAGGGCCTATGTTTGATTGGTTATAGAAGAGGACTCTGCATTCAGCCTAAACCTGTTATAACAGCTTTTTATGGTTAGTGTAGTCTCCCATTTTCTGATGACTTAACCTGTTGCAGATCAGTTAACATGTTTATATACCATTCCCAATACAAGCAATATACAACAAACAAATACCATTGACTCTGATAGTGATACTTCAGATTTTAATGATGATGACTTAGCTGTTTAT